ACCCCTTGTGCACACAAACACACACATACACACTGCTCGTACAGGATCATTCGAGCATCCTTCATCCAGCTCTTCCTCACCCAAAATCACCATTGTTGTCTGAAAACCCTTTGCTCAGATTTTAAGCTGGACTGAAAGAGAATTTTACACTACATTGCCTCATAAAAAAAACAAAACCTGGTAAATCTGAATCCAGCACATTTCTTCCTAGTTCCTGAAAAGCTGAAATGTATATCAGCTCCACCCTTACATACAAAACAGCACCATCTATCTATTTATCACACCAGAAAAGGTAACTCTAGTCTTCAACCCACCACATCTGCCTGTGTCCTCTTAGAGGTGGATTAACAGCACTTAATAAACCAGCCTATTAACCAAAACAGCTGCACTGACACCACAAGGTTCAGAGATGATCCCCAGAGCCGATAATAAAACAAAGTAATCAGATTACAAATAAACAGATCTCTGGATTTATCTCTTCTCCAGTGATGGAGGGAGGGAGGACAGGAGAGGTTTCACTGATACTGTCTCTGCTGATGCAAAATAAGGCCACAACATACTGTAGCTCCCAACCACGGGTACATGACCTCAGGGTACCTCTGCAGCTGTCAGGGGGTAGGTAAAAAGCTGTGTGTGGGTACGCTAACAGCTAAAATCGGCTACTGAGCGAACAGTTGAAATAACTAACTTTAATTAATGAACAGACTGTTGGAATAGTGGCTAAAAGTAATGAGTACACAGTCGAAATATTAACAGTTACAATACCTACAGATAGGCTTATGGATAAACAGTGAACACAGTTTGCTAAAGTAGGATAATGGATTAACGGTTGAAACAGCTTAAAGCAGGTTAATGGAAAAAGAGTTGAAATAACTAATTGTAGACTAATGCATAAACAGTTGAAATAGTTAGCTTAAGGTAGGCTAATGAAAATCAGTGGAAATAGGTAATCCTAGGCTAATGGATAAATGGTTTAAAAAAAAAAGCTAATCGTAGGCTAATGGATAAATGGTTAAAATAGTTAGCTTAAAGCAGGCTAATGGATAAATGGTTGAAACAGCGAATCGTAGCCTAATGGGTAAATCGTTAAAATAGCTCATCGTAGGCTAATGGATAAATAGTTGAAATAGTTAGCTTCAAGTAGGCTACTGGATAAACAGCTGGAAGAGCTGTCTAAACTAATGGGTTAAAGACTGAATTTGTTAGCTTAAACTAGGATAATGGATACACTGTTGAAATAACTGACAGTAGGCTAAGCAACAAATTGTTAAAATAGCAAATTGTAGGCTAATGGATAAATGAACCAAATAGTTAGCTTAAAGTAGGCGAATGGGTAAACAGTTGAAATAGCTAATCATAGGCTAATAAAAGGTTGAAATAGTTAGCTTAAAATACGCTACTGGATAAACAGTTGAAAGAGCTTACAGGAGGCTAATGGACAAATGGTTGAAATAGCAAAACATAGGCTAATGGATAAATGAACCAAATAATTAGCTTAAAGTAGTCAAATGGGTAAACAGTTGAAATAGCTAATCATAGGCTATTAAAAGGTTGAAATAATTAGCTTATAATAGGCTAATGGATAAACAGTTTAAATAGGTAACCGTGGGCTAATAGATAAAGGGTTGAAATAGTTAGCTTACAGTAGGCTAATGGATAAAGGGATGAAACGTCCAGCCTCTGCCACTCCAAGAGGTAACATTAAAAATGCAAACTAGACCAAAGCAAACTAAACATTTGTGATTCGATTGTATGTATAAATATTTACATTAACCCACTTATACATGATTATCAGTGTTAAATAACATCCTGTTTATAATCTGTTCATAAGAACATTATTGGAAAATGACAGATGGTGTTGATGAATGGGAACTTGAGCTCATCTGACAGGCCTGCGGGGGGGCGTCAGGCTAAAAAGGTTGGAAACCATTGGCTGAGGGGACCCAGGAAGGGCTATCACAGATCACTGCGTTATCCTGGTGACAGAGGCTTCCTGTGTTCGCCTCCACAGGAACCATGACTCACTAATTCTCCATCTTCCTCCTCCTCCTCCTCCTCCTCTCTCTCCATCTCTCCTTGGATGTGTACTGTAACTGTAAGTTTCACGGAGAATAACATCTGCATGAATGGAGCTGAGGAAAATGTGATTCACAGAAAACGTGACACTGGGTTCAGACAGTAGGGCGAAGATGAGTAACAGTAGCTGAGTTTACCTGCAGGCAAAGCACACACATGCAGAGAAGCAGACGTACTGTGCTTTCTTACAGACACGCTTATGTTTACTCATTTTAGCACATGCAGTCAGACATATACAAGACAAACTAGGAAGCTCTTAGATAATGTGCAATCCTCTGAATTTTTATAAAATGCAAAAAAATACACATAATGGCATACAATCGTGCTGACTGGCCAATGTCTGATATTTTTTGGAGAAATCCTGTCTAGGACTGCTAGAGCTTTGTAAATTTATAAGTGAGCCACAGTTATAACCTCTTTTAAATTTAACTTTAATGTGACTTTTGCAGGATTTCTTGGTGTAGATGTGTGAATCCGTCATCTGAATTTGGTTGCAATTGCAATGGTAACCATAGGCTACCAGAAACTGTATGGCATATAAGATAATTTTAACGTTTTTCAGGTATATAGAAAAATTTTATGTACCAAATTTGGTGATGCTTGGATGAAATTTGGAGGAAGTCTGACGCCTTGTTTCCTCTTACATATGTGTACGGAGACAAGGCAACTGGAAATCCATTCATTCCTATGGGAATCTCCATGATATCAAGATGTGTCTGCGAAACTCCTCCCCTCTGTAATATTTTGGTCTGGAATTTGCCGCGAGTACATTTAAAACTTTTTGCTGGCTGCTAACTAGCTAACAGCTATTCCTTTTAATGCAGTTGCCTATGTTGATTGTCGAGTGAGTTTGTATGATTAAATCATCTTGTTTATCTAGCTTTAACACATTGTGAATCTCAGTAATGTTATTCTGTTAAAATATGGTGATACATTATATACAGTCAGATCCTCATTATGACTCATTCAGCCCTTCAGGCATCTTTTAAATTAAATATTTCACAAAACATTTCACATACCGAGCAGGTCCTGTTTTTGTCCTGGTAATGTTCCAAGCATATATTCCAAACTACTAGATGGCAAAAAGCGGACAAAATTACCACCTCCTTCATGGTTACAGGTAGTTTCTATCCATCCATAAAGAAATGCGCTTCTTTGCGTCGGACACTAGAGGCATCATCCATATATTTACCAATCTACGGATACCAGTTACATACGTAAGTGGAAACAAGGCATAACACTATACTACTTTGAACCTGTACTTAGCTGTGGATTGAGCTAATGCTAACTTTTGCATGTTAGCATGCTAACAATTGCTAGAGCTAAAGATGATGAGAGTATGCCCACCCTGCATCCACACAGTGACTCGGCTAAATGTTAGCATTGTGGGTAGCATTATAGTATCAGTGTAGGTTTGTTGGAACCCTTTAACTGCTTGTTGTCAGATGTTTGCTGCTGCTGTTGTGTTAGCTCATACGAACTGGGCACATGCTGAACCTACCTGCCTACCTCTCATACAGGTGTCCACCTGTGCCTCTGGGTTGTTAGCTTGTTGAGGGGTGCTCATATCCTAGGAGCGACATCATGGCATTGCCTTTGCAGCCTCTGACAACTCCAGCAAGCAGCAGACCCCGCTGTCTCATCATCTACCCTGTAGCGCCACTTGATTCAATATATATTTTTAAGCTGGGCGGCATGGTAGTGGTTAGAATTGTCGCCTCATAGCAAGAGAGTTCCTGGTTCGCACCCAGGGTGGGGGAGCCCTCCTGTGTGGTGTTTGCATCCTCTCTGGGTACTCCAGCTTCCTTCCACTGTCCACAGACATGCAGGTTAGGTAAATTGGTGATTCTAAATTGTCCGTAGGTGTGAATGTGAGTGTGAGTGGTTGTCTGTCTCTATGTGTCAGCCCTGTGATAGTCTGATGACCTGTCCAGGCTGTACCCTACCTCTCACCCAATGTCAGCTGGGATAGGCTCCAGCCACTCCACAACCCCCAACAGGATAAGCGGTTACGGAAATTGAATGAACTGATGGTGTTAATCAGTCAAAATTCTTACTGTCAGTTAACGGTTAAACGGTTAATTATAACATTCCTAAACAAAACCCGTTGCAGTCCATCCTGAGGGGAACATGAATGTCTGTACCAAATATCCTGACAATTCATCCAATAGTATTTGAGACATTTCACCTAAAAACACATAAACAGACACAAACATGTGGGGCCATAAAAACATAACCTTTTTAGTTAAGGTAATAACACCCCTTCTCATATACATACCAGCTGCATGCACACGCTCACACACTTGATCTTGTCGCCCTAATTGAGTGTATCCTGTACATGCAGAACATCCAGTACGTAAACACTCAGACGAGACAGAGCAACGGTGTTTGTTTATGCGTGTGTATTCAGTTGCTGGGACAGTCTTTCTTTTTTTGTCTTGATCTTTGATGGTTTCACTGTAATATACAAGTGGGTTACAGAGTAAAAGCCTCAAATCTGGCATGGCGCATGTCGTGTGAGCAATGCAGGATGTTGTTGTTGCGGTTGTTGTTGAGGGTTGAATGAATTTCTTCGCGTGCATTGCCTGGAGTCTTACTGTAATTTTCATTTGACAGCCAAAAATCTTAAATGTGCGTTGAGAGGAGGGGTAATGAGTAGCTGGAACGTGTGCAGGGATCAGTATGAATGTTTATCAAGACTGAAATCCAGCTAGTCCAGACTGTCAGCTGTCCTGGTATGTGTTTGTTTACGGTAGGTGTTTAGAGAGATAGTCAAGGCTTTTCCTGTGGACCTTTGGGAGACGGAGGGAGTGTGTCCTGATAGCAGAAAAGAGAAGGAGGAGGAGGAGGGTAGTTTTCTTGCAGCCTGAGCGTTTGGCTGAAGGGTGGAGACTCGGAGCAGCAGTGAGGAGGGAGGCAGGGAGGATCTCAGCTGGAGCAGGGAGAGAGAGAAGCATACAGAGAGAGGAGTGTGTGTGGATGTACTCGCCTGCCTCGCTGACTGACTGACTGTGTGTGTGTGTTTGTGTGTGACAGAACGAGGGGAGGACGCGTGGATACTACTCCACAGGACTGGATGTGTTTAGCGTCACGGAACGAGACCACACGTACAACAAAAACAGGTAGGGTTTTTGCATTTTGTGCGCGTAAAATTTCTCTGTTTTGATGCCATCTGGGTTAATCGCATCCAAAACAGGGTGTGTTCCAGGGGAGGAGGGGGGCTTTTCATATCCACGCTGTCATTTTGTCAGCGCTCGAGGGGCGAGATTGATGCCTCTGGCTGGTTTACATCATGGAATCCCCTCCTCCCTGTATAATCGCTAAAAACCTCCTTGCTGTCAGGTGAGCTGCTGCTTTTATTTCCCCCCATCTTGCACCTCCCTTCATACATGCATATATGCGAGGGGGGATAAGAGAATGGACTCCCTTCTCTTCTTCCTCCCTCCTTTTTCTTCCCTCAGGATTGGGCAGATCTTATAATGTGGAGCCAGAGGAATTAAGGGCATCTGTTTCAGGGGGATATTTGCACGAGCAGAGGGGATGAAAAAAGGGAGACAAAGGCAGCAGAAAGCCACAGAGGAATCCCACAAGCCTCCTGTGAGGTTTTCTGTCCATTCTCAACTCTCTGGCCCACCATACGATGAGGAGAAAGCAGTCGACCACACACAAGCTCCATGTAGTGGTTGTATCAGGCAGATGGCCGGGAGAGGAGGGGGTGGAGGAGGAAGGGGAGGGGGTGGAGGAGGACGAGGAGTGGGGGTTTGGTGTTTTTATGTTGCTCATAGACAGATACAGTCGCTGGCAGCGGCGTGCACGTACAGGAAAAACAAGAAAATGAACACAGCCATGCTATTTTCCCCACGCTTAGCTCATCACACGAAGGCATCGTCATGTACAACTCGCATTAAGTCATCCAATCATGTGCGTTGCGTATCCAGGCCTGTTACAAACGCACACAGAGAGTCAGAATTACGCAAGAGCTCAATGTCCGGCTGTCTCATACTGTATCTCGAGGGCAAGCTGCTCCAAGGCCACAGATTGTTTCACACACATCGATGTTGAGACTAAGAGAGCCGCTCACAAAGTATCCAGTGATAAACAAGAGTATCAAAAACCTTGAGAGTTTAACCGGAGCATGATGTTGAGTGTTACAGTCACAGAGCAGAAAGGGAGGAATGATGAGCAGCCGTCCACGCCTTATTGACCACTGTGACCTCTCCACTCCCATCACTGATTTCTTCCTAAGAAATCCATCCCAGCCTGGGCTGAGTGTCCTGAGAGCATTATTCTTGCTGAAGTCATCTCTATGTGAACCAGCCTTCTCATACTTGTTTCTCAGAGATGTACATGACTGCAGAGGGAAGGTAACATGAGGTGGGAAGGATGTTGTCACACTGAAGGCTTCGACCTTTGTACTCACTGCACTTGTTTGCTTCTCACAGTGTTGATTTTGGGTTTTAAGCTTGTTCAACCGTGCTGTGGTCTGTCAGGGTAGGAGCATTCAGAGCTGTTTTTTGAGTCTTTTTTGGAGAAAGTCCAGTCAAGTTTCAAACCTTGTCCCACCAAGTTTCAAGTCCTTAAATGAAAGTCCAAGTAAAGTCACAAGTCTTCAGTCTGTCAGGTCAGAACATGAATATTTTTTCTTTCAGATTTAGTCTTGACTGAATTATTGTGACTTAGGTTGAGCTTTGAAGCCAGTTTCAAGTGTTTTGGGGTAAGCACAAGCCAACCATCAAGTCTTGTCCAACCAAGTCTCAACTAAAGTCTCTTGTTCTTGAAGGCATGAGACTTTTTAAACCTCAAGCCAAGTCGTAAGGGAGTCAAGTCTCACAGCTGTCATGTTCAAATGAAGTTCAAGTCTTTATCTTTGTTTTATTATTTAAGTTCTAGTATTTACAGCGTACCAGTACTAGAAAGGTATTGTAATACCATGCCATTAAAAATGGTACAATACCAGATTATATTAATACTGGTACTTTAAGAACAGCAGTGTTTCAATAGGAGCTATGAGTTCCTATAAGTTCCCATGAGTTGCGTCAACGTGCTCCTGCAGGGCAGAGTGTATGTGCAGCGCTCCCTGTGCTCGACATTAACGCTTGCCCGGGGCAAATAAACATGTTTCGCAAGTGAAATGCCTCATGCAGTTGGCCAATAGGGTCACTCAAAAATAAAAGGGATGTTTAATGTCATGATATCTGAAAATAAACTGCGTACTGTATCAGTTCAGCAGAGCTTTTCCAGCTGAGGTGCTTGTGCGAGGCCAGAACTGATGAGAAAAATCTGACAAATTGGACATTATAGAAGTTAATTCAGGGATGGACAATGTCGTGTACGACAGAATGTTACTAATGTCAAATACCTCTGCAACGCAGTGTGCGAGAAACTGAATATATTTGTGCCCAGAAGCTAACTGTTGTGCTGTTCCACCGACAGCTCTGGTGCGATCTGTCGAAAGCTTTGTAACGAACCGTAGTGTTTACTTGAAGACTTTCTTTTTTTCATTTTTCTATCATGATAAATCCGACACTGAATATTATTCTTGGTTATTTACGCATTTTTCCGCCTTGAAAACTGTTGTTGTTGTTGTTTGCCGTCCACTAGCTGCCCATGATGCCTTGGGCTGTCTGTTGACCAATCCAGAGGCCGTGTTCCTGACGTGTTCACCAATCAGAATATTTTGTTCCATTACTTTGTTGTTTATGGTTTTTGCCGCGGCATCATTTCAGTATCAGTATCAAGATATTTACTCTAAGTATTATATTGATGTCATAATGTTGGTATTGTGACAACCCTAACTTTGAGTCCCAAGTCTCTTCCAACCAAGTCTTCAGTCAAGTTTCAGGTCTCTGACATCAAAACATGAGATTTGAATGTTTTTGTTTTCAAGTCCCAAGTCAAGTCTCAAAACTGTCCGAGTCAAGTTCCAAGTCCTCATTTTTGCAACTTCAGTCTGTCTCAAGTTTAAGTCTCAAGTCTACCAAAGCTGCTTTGAAGTTTTTATGAAGGAAGGTTTGAGTTTAGTGAAAGTTTTTTCCAACCAAGTTCAAATCACAAGGCCTATGGAGCAAAACACGAGACTTGAATGTCTTTGCTTTCAAGTCTGCAGCTCTCACAGCACTCAAGTCCGAGCCTCACGTCCTCTTTTTTGAGGCTGTCTATGACTCATGTGCAGCTCCCAGGTGTCTTAAATCTTAGGTAGTCAGATCTTCCAGCACTCAAGTCCAAGTCAAGTCTCAAGTCAGCATTTTTGTGACATGCCTGACTTGAGTCCAAGTCTCACGTCTTCACCTCTGGAAGCATCAGCTCCAAATGTTCCCGACAGCTTGGATGTAACTCATGACAAGCAGAATGCTCCCCGAAGCAGATACACTTTCAGTACTTTTCAGCCAAACTTACACATCGGAGAAACGGTCCGAGCAGCAAACTCTCAGCAGAATCTAAACAAGCCCGGATGTTTGTAATATTGTTAACAGCCCAGGAGTCTGGCCGTGTTATCCTTGGCATGCTGATTGATTCCAGAGGAAAAGTATGTTTATGCCTCCTCACTCAAGGCGAATGCAAAAATCCTGCCGATTCCTCACAGTTGAGAAGAGAAGAGAGCTTTAATGCACAAAAACGCTTGGTAAAACTATCATTTGTGACACACAGGGCAGGAAGTTAACCTTATAAATTTGGTGGCCACCTCTAAATATGATTTCCAGAGTGGAAAAGAAGCTCCACATGATGGCCGGTTCCCTGCCAAAAGTGGCCAGGGGAATTAAAAAGCCAGGATTCACCAGCGTTATTTGGCAGGTGGCTGGTGTTAATTTTCCACCCTGGTCACACAAAAACATGTGGTTTCTTTGTATTCCTCTGAAGTCTGTAGCTGTCCCTGTGACAGCAGTGTCAGGCATTGTTTCTACCCCACTAACCACACTGCTGTTATATAACACATATCAAAGGTTTTAAACGTGGGTCTTTAAATGTTTGGGGAAAAGAAAACCACTTGGCCACTGCTTTAATCTAACAAAGAAGAAACATGCCGTGCCTTGATCGTTTGATTTAATAAACATAATAGACCACATTTGTGCTCCCTGGAGCAATAAGCCTCCTCCCTGCTGCCTCCTTGACTCCCAGGAGATGCATCATTTCCTGGGCCGCTGCCTTCACCCCTCCCCCCTTCTGGGACCTAGATTAACCCCCCAACACACACAAACATACTTATATACACACACCCACCACTATCTCGAAGATGGCAGGATGGGCAGGGCATGCTGGGGGTGGCACAGATGTCCGGGCTAATCGAATATTCACGGGTGGTGGTGGTCTGACCGAGAGGCAGCGGCACGAGGAAGCAGAGAGGGAGAGAGTCAGGGTTAATGTACGGTTTAATAGAGGCTAATAGATTGAAAATTAAACATGTTGTGTCAAATCTACTTTGGGGGAAACAGTTATGAAACTCATGCAAATATGTATTATATGCCAAGATTAGAAAGATACTGGGTGATTCATAAGAGAGATTTCTGTATTTGAGTTTTTTCTGTCCTCTTTTCACTGGTTTGAAGTGGGCAGGCTCCTTTGGAAAAAGCAGCCTGATAGTTGGAGCTGAATTAGGATTTCATTTCACTTCATTCAGTCTGACATTGTGTTTATGTTAGCCTATGGGTCGCTGGGAGATTTTGGTTTGATTTGTCTTGACCTGTCAGCAGTGAGTTACAAATCTGTCCCTACGATGTCATTTTCAGTCGACACAAAAGCTGTAGCTTTAGTGGTTTAACGTTTCTCATGACAGTTAAAGAAGAGTGCCAGTTTCAATGTTTTTAATTCTGTAAGATAACTGATAACAACATCTTCACTTGATACGTTCAGGGTGACAGTGACCCCCCTCACGTAAAATAGTATGCTTGCTAACTACGTTAATGATGGATTGTAAATGTGCAACAGCATTTTTTTTGCAGGCACAAGGTACCAAACAAAAGATAGAAACTGTATCATATTTAGGCTAGTTTTGGAGCTGTAAATTCACCACATCTATGCAGAAGGCAGATGATAATGTTATCTTGGAGCATGACTGGGCACAGCCTCTATTTAACCAGGCAGCTTCCTGTACCGGAGAGTAGAGTGAGAGCAAGAAGTGCTCACT